TATTTTCAGGAGGCTGATAACGTAAAAGGAATGACATTACATTTGCTATGCAGTATCAGGGATCTACTTTTATCCTTTGGAATTGTTCCATTTTCTGCAATCTTTAATCTGCTTAATCTGTGATATTACAGGCTTGATGTTACATTAAAAGTATTAAAAATCTGCAATCAAGTTAACTTTTTTTTTAAGGGGATGTAATAATAATTTGCCTAAGAGGTTCCTGGTTCATGTAATACCAAAATAATGGAGAATTAAAAGGCACCCGCAGTTACAAATATTTGTGCTTTATTTTATACAGTATTATGGAAATGAATTGCACTTTACATTAGAGTTTTTGAGGGGCATGATTGTAGATATCGAGCAGAAATAGCTCTAAATTGAATTAAAAATAATGAACTTAGTATTGTCAGAAATGTGGGAGTGTGAAATCAATGGACTGCAATCTGTTGCAATTTTTGTGGAATTATCTAGATTTTGCTGTCATTATCATATGCCCCAGTATATCTTGCTGAATATTAATGAATATAAAAATAACTCCAGAAGTTTGCAGTGGGATCACAATTGATGCAATGTGAAAGAAGAATCGATGCATCCTCTCACACTTTCATCATTCTGCATTGGTTTGGGGCAACTTTTGTGGTTTTATTTTCTTTTTACCACTTATCAGATGTTCCTAAGACGAGAATCTAAATGGCAAAAATAAATTGCTCTCATAAACTTCTGACATGAAATATTTGTACCCAGTGGAACTACCCACTTTAATGTCCTATTGCTGTGATTTTTGAAGAAGGAAATACAAGCTAAAATCCAAGGTTTTTCTTCCTTTTGGATCATTCATGCAAGGTGTATGTTGTGTATTGTGACATTCCTGCAGCAAATGTTTTCCTGGAAGAGAGGATGGGAGAGAGCTCTGCACATGTGACAGGACAGGTCCCTCTGACCAGGCAGCCCTGGGGAGGCACCTGGGAATGGTGAGCACCAGAGGTCAGGGAGAGGCCACCCAGAGAAAGGTTTGGAAGCAAGTTTATAGTGAGGGGTGAATTTATCAGGGTTTTATTTTCTGACATTGGGCAGCACAGTACCGAATTCCCACAGTAATGAGTAAGGATAGTCTGCAGTGAAGGAAGGCTTCTGTGATAGAGCTTGGCAGCATCATTGCAAAAATTACTTCTGGATGTGCCTTTTCCAGGGAGAATGTGTCCTTGCACTGTTAAAAAGTGTCTAATTTCCATTTTGAATTTCTGGTTATGTTGAGATTTTGGGGGGCAGGGAGTGTAGTGTTTAATTTTTTTTTTTTCTTGGTTTTTTTTTTTTAATTAAGATTTGCATTTGTGTACCATGCAAGCCTGTGAGCAGGTACTGGCTCAGGCAAAAGCTGCTCTGGTGCTGAGCCATGAGGATGGAGGCTCACAACTGACCAGTGAACCTCACGGACCTGCTGGGATGAGTCCAGAGGAGAGTGATGAAGATGTTGGAGCACCTCAGCCAGGCTGAGACAGTTTGGGTTGTTCAGCATGGAGAAGACTCTGGAGAGACCTTAGAGCCCCTTCCAGTACCTAAAGGGGGCTCCAAGAGAGCTGGAGAGGGACTTTGGACACGGTCATGGAGTGACAGGACAAGGGGAATGGCTTTAAACTAAAAGAGAGATGGTTCAGAATAAATATTGGGAAGAAATTCTTGACTGTGAGGGTGGTGAGGCACAGTTTCCCCAGAGAAGTTGTGGATGCCCCATCCCTGGAAGTGTTCAAAGCCAGGTTGGATGGGGCTTGGAGCAACCTGGTCTAGTGGAAGGTGTCCCTGGCCTGGGATGAGCTTTAAGGTCCCTTCCAACCCAAGCCATCCTGTGATTCTGTGATTGATTCTCCTGCTGAAATACAATTACACTTATGACCTGGGATAATATTTACAGGATAGTCCCTGCAGGTGTTTAATTGGAATAGTATTTACATGGAATTAGCAAATTTGGAGGAAGTAGGAGAGTTGACCTCCAGACTTTAGGCAACAGCAGGTTATACCTAAGCCCCTGCAGGTGTTTTCTTTTACTCCTGAGAAGCAATCTCTTAACACTTGTTTGCAAAATTTGACCAAAAAAAATCAGCAGTGGATTTATTCTGAAATTAGTATTTTGTCTTTTGTGTTTAATTAATGCCTTGGAACCAAAATGACATTTGTTTGTGCCCGTGGGTGTTGCTGGGGGAGCTGATGTGCTGTGAATTCCCGGGCACGTTTGCTTCTTGCTGGCTCCAGTCCTGGCTCAGTGATGTCTTGGGGACCAGCTCCTTCTTTTATTTATCCCCCACCGGCTTTGGTGTTTCAGCCTAATTTGCTGGTAATGGGAGCAGTCAGATATTCATCTGTGCTAAACATCTCTGCTTTAACCGGAGCCCTGTGCTTCGGTACGAGCCAAGCCCAAAATGTCCAAAAAGGCAGCACTTCTGAACTCTCCTACTTTTTGATTGGAATTCTGACTCTTTTTTGGCTCTGTTTATTGGGAAAAAAAAATTTTAAAATTGGGGAGGCTGAAAATGAATGTGGGTTCTTAATCACAATGAAAGGTACTGTTCTGAAGGCAAGTTTGGTGACATTACAGATTGGGTTTTTACATATGCAAGGAGAAGCTAAATCTTTAACACATCCTACTCTAAGGCAAAACGTGAAATAACAGAAGAGAATAAAATCTCTTGCGGAGCAGTGCGATTGCCCTGACCGGCAGGCTGTGCAGAGCACTGCCTGCTCCAAAGGGATCGGACCCGAACCCCTGCAGCCCTCCCACTCTCGGGGAGCAGCCGGGCGGGTGCACAGTCCAGAAGCGTCGGCTGGCTGGGTTTGCACAGGCACCCCGAGTGATGCTTCCGCACTGTCTGAAGAGCGCTTTCCTGGTAATTCAAGATGGGATAATTCCTTTACAAAGAACCGCTAATGATCTTACAAGCACCGCATCGAGTTGAGACGGCTTCTAAGAGAGGGTCTGGCGCCTTGGCTGGTGGCTTTGAAATGCTGGATGTTGTTGTAGGATCCTCCAGACCAAGGGGAAATGAATATGAATGCAATGACATGGAAATTCTGAGGGCTTCCTTTCTGTTCTTCCGATGTAGTGGCTAAAACTTAGAAATACAACGTGTATCAAAGTTGATAGAAAGCATTTTAAGTAGCTGGCCAAACTGATACAATAGAGAACAATCGTAATTTTTTTAAGTTTTCAGTTTGTGGGGGTTGGTTTTCTAAAAATACATGGGGTTTTAAGTATAGTTACTGAGACAGAAAAAGTCGTGCTTCTTTTAGTCTCTCATATAAATATTTTTGCAGCACTCTGTTGTTGCAGCTCCTAGAAAACCCGATTCAAGGCTGGGGGCAGTTTGTGTTTCTTGGATGTTTTGTTTTGCAGCTCCTTTTTATAGCCCGGGCTCGGGAGGGAAAGGGGAGGAGGGGTGGGAAAGTGTGGAGAGACAAAACCAAGGCGGCCGCAGGAAATGGGGGTCCTTTCCCACACCTTCCTCTGGGCATCGAGCTCGGCTTCCCAGGATGAAGCTGAAGCCCAGGTTCCAGCCGGGCAGCAGCAGTGCTGGGCTTGTCTGTGACTGGTTTTGGTTTTGCTTAACTCCAAGGGGGCTGAATTATTTTTTAGCAGTAGGAAGGAGCATAAGGGATGCCCTTGTTTCCTGCTGAGGATGAGCAGGGATACCATTTGTCCTGCTCCTGGAGGATGCCTTAGGGAAGGAATAAGGATCTCTGTATTTCATGGCTCCATCTTATTTTTTGTTCCGTTTTTCATGGGGGAGATAAACTAACAAAGCATTAAATAAAACTGAAGCTCAGTTCTGAGCAGCCTGATTTTACAGCCCTCTTGGGTCAGGTTTTAGGTTGGTGCACTTGAGAGTGGATAACCACACACCGTCCAGCCCACATGGGAGAGTTTTAGCTGCTTTATAGCTAAAAGAATGTTCCGTGAGTGCACTTACACTTGTATGAAGGGGCAGTGTCTTTGTGTAATCAAAGAGTTATGTGTAATCAAAGAGTTTTGTTTTGATCAACTTACATTCCTTTTGGCTGACAAAACCCGAAGTGGGGAACAAAAAAAAAAAAACAAAAACCAAACAACAAAAAAAAAAAGGAATCAGCTTCAGCAGATCTCAAAGGTTACACGGCCAGCCCTGGCCTGATTAAATCTGTCGATGGGCTCATATGACTCGGGGTGCAGAGTTGTGGCTGGAAAGCCTGAGAAGTCACCAGGAGCTTGGCCTTGGAGGTCATCCCATGGAGGACCAGGTCCCTGCATAGCACGGCACTGCCACTCCCTCCCCGAAGGTCAGGACAGAAACCAGCCCCTGGCTGGAACACGTGGAGCAATGAGAGGTCAGGTTACAGAGAGCTCTTGTGGGATCTGTCTGTGAAAGGAGACTTGAAATGGGTACAGATACTGGGACTATTTTGGGGGGTGAGAAAAGCTGCTCCTCTGGCAGGAGCTGTTGTGTGAAAGCCTGCTCTGGACTTTTCTAGTCAGGTCTGGAAAAGCAAGGATGCTGAAACTGGGGAGATCCCGCAGGAGCTGAAGAGGCACTGGCTCTGCAGTCCCAGTTTGCAGCGGTTGCTCAGGGCAGCCTGACACTGTCCAGGTCTGCTGGTGTCCATGGAGAATGGTTCACTCTGCCAGGTCTGGGTCTGTCTTCTGCATGGTGCTCCTCAAAGCCTCAGGGGTCAACTCATGGATTGCTTGAGAGCTTACTTTTCCAGTGCTTCCTAATCAAGGAATGCTGTGAGACATACTCCAGGATTTTGTTCAAACTTTCTTATGCTGTCTCCTGCAAACACATATGCCTCAGGCAGATCCCACCTGGATTTTTATCACTGATACAAATTAGTGCTCTTAATCAGACAGGAAAATGCAAGAAAGTCCATTGACAAATGGAGTTAAGCTGTCAAATTCCTGTCAAACACCAAACTTCTGCACAGGGATCAAACATAATTGTTTTTCTCAAATATTGTTCTCTCTTCTTTTGTAGGAATCGGAGTTTCTCTGCCTGGAGTTTGACGAGGCCAAGGTGAGCCAGATGCTGAAGAAACTGTCAGAAATAGAGGAGAGTATGACTTTGTTGACTCAGACTACTTAATCAAATAAAGAGATTGCAGCTTACAAAAAAATAACCCTTGGTGCGTTTTCATAAATCCTATTTCAGCACATGAATAGGGGGTGCTGGTTAAATCCAGATTATAACCCCAATGGGCTAAATCACACTGTGAAGCTTTCTCATCCCCTCCTCCCAACCTGTTTTCCAAAGCAGCAGCAACACTGTTTCCACGAAGCTTTGCTTAATCAGGCCTTGGGGTGTAGCACAGCTTTTCTCTTTACCTCCTCAGTCACTTCTGGAGTGCTCCAGATGCTGGGCTGGATGAGCAGCAAAGGTAATTGGCCAGTTGTGGCAGAGGAGAAATGAGCAGAAGAAACAGGCAGATTAGGGGGAACTCATGTTTATACTTCCAAACCATGGACTTTATAGGACAAATCCACCTCTGTGAGCTCTGTCTGCTTAGAGCTAAAACCCAGGAAAGCAGATGAAGTGCAGGGAGTTCAGGGAGAAGAGGCACAAACACACCTCTCTGTACCTGTGAGCTCCGTGCTGCCGAGGATTCCAAGGGCTGGCCAGCCTGGATGCAGAAGCCAGGGGACAATCAGGGGAACATCTCCCGGGAATTTGGACATGCTGGTTTTCCAAAAGGAGCAGTCCTGCATGTGCAGAGCACCTGATGCAGCTGTTTGCTGGATGGTGCCTTCAAAGGCACCTCTGATCTGCTTCCTCAAAGACCATCCAGCCTCATCCCCTTCTGGCCCTTGGGCTGTAGTGGTGCAGCCCTGGCACGGAGCTGCACGCTGTGTTTGAGGGGCCAGTGCTTTGTCAGAGCACAGCCGAACTTGGCTGCTCTTAGTCCTGTTTTTCATGGCTTGGTTTGACCTGAGAAAGCCCCAGATGGAACCCAAGGTTTCTAAGTGTGTACAGGCTAAGCTCGGAATGTGGGTAAAGGAAAGTGCCCTTGGCAGCCCGTCAGCCTGAGGCCTTATCAGTAAAACCCTTGTGTGAGTGAAGAAATCTGCCAGAGGCAGGTCACGGGCACAGGATCTGAGCTGCCTGGATGGCTCCTGGCTGTTGCAGTGCCCACATCTGTGCTGGAACACCCAGCTGCAGAGCAGCTGCTGCCCCCGTGCTGACACAGGCTCCCAGAAGGGTTTCCAGTTCTCTGTGTTTCCCTTCAGGGCTGTGACCTTGCCAGCCTGGTCACAGCAGGGTGTCCCACCACACTCAGCAGGAGCTGAGCCTGAGCAGGCCAGCACTTGGACAGAGCAGGATGGAAGGATCTCCTTCCAGCAGAGCTGGCTGGTGGTCCTTAAAAAGGTGACAGTCCTGGCTCCTGGTTTGCTCTGTCCCTTGTCTGGAAGGCGTGTACACACATTTGGTTGGAGGCTACATTGCTTCTTGCCATTTTATATTTGCTTTATAAGCAACCTCCTCCTGAGCTAAAATTACATTGAGGGCTTGTACCAATATAGAGATGACAACATAAAATGTTCTCGTGCCATAGCTAAAGCGCTCCTCATCGCTTCTCCTTGAGAATTTATTGCTTGTGGAGTTGCCAGATTGCACTTGGACACAAAATCTCTTCAGAGCAAGGGAAGGGCACCTTTTCCCATCTGCCTGGTCAGAAGGGGAAACATCCCTCCAGCCAATTTGAGTCCCTGCACAGGGAATTAACATTTCCTTTGCCATGCCTGTCCCACTGCTGCCTTTTCTCTTACAGCCTCCTGGTTCTGTTCTGCCCTCTCATCTCATGGAGCCCCCAGCACCTCTGTTTCCCCAGCTGCCTTTGGCTGATTCCTGTCAGAGAGGAACTGGGCTGTAACCACAAACTGCTCCTCGTGCTGCTCCCTGAGTCAGTGGCTGCAGCAGCGCTGTGAAATGAGTGCTTTGTGATTCTCTGAGCTTTCTGTTGCCTTTTTCAACTAAGTTCATTCAAGTGCTTTCTGTGTATTAGGACATATTTAAAAAAAAATCAAGGTCAGGGAAGGATCATGATCTTAAGTAGCTTGCACTGTGTCAAACATACTTATTGTTTTATTTTAACATGGTCAGAGGATAGGAAAATGTGCTATAAATGGAAATTAAAGAGAAACAAACTGGGAACAGATGTCAGGAAGTATTATTTCATGCAAAGAATAATAAATATGTGGAATGGCTAACAAGGCGAGGAGGCTGAAGCAAAAAGTCTAGGGGACATTTAAGAATTAATTGGATACTTTCTTAGTTGAGGTCTGAAGTGGTATGTTTTTATGGGTGGATGCTTCTCTCTCTTCCTAATCTTCCCTCCCCTAACTATCTCAGGATACCTAACTGTTCCCATTTTCTTCTTGGTGGATCTTTCTAAACTACTGTGCAAAACAAAAAAAGAAAAAAGGAAAAAAGAAACCACTGTGTTGAGGACCACACTGCTCAGTCCTTGGTAGTCACTGGGCAGCAAAATTGTTCCTGCTTCACCAGGTCTGATGTGGCAGGGAAGGGGATGCAGTAATCCTCAGCTGCTGCTGGGACACGAGGCCAGGCCAGCTCCTTGGCAGGGCCGTGCCTTCCTGCTGGGGTGGTTTCTGTGTGTGCATCCACCTGCCCCTGCCTGCGGTGTTCTGAGCCTGAACCTGCAGGGGACGAGGCCTCCAGTGCCACTCTGCTTTGCTTCCTTGGGTGAAGGGCACAAGCACCCATGGCTTCTGTTGGGATGTCACTTGCTGTCTGTGGTCCTACTAAATATCTCTGTGGTGCTGGCACATGGCACCTCCTGTTCAGGAGAGACTTCACAAATCCTCCCCCAAAGCCCAGATGTAAACCAGACTCATCCTGAATGCATGGCCAGGCCACTCCTGCAGTGGCTGCTGGAATCCTGCATGGATTCAGCGGAGCAGACACCCCAGCACAGCCCTGGGGCCTCATCCAGCTTTGGAGACCACTGTGGTTCCTGCCATGGCTCCTGTGCCCGTGTGCTAAGCCAGGCCAGCAGTGTGGCACCTGGGCCATCACCTCCTCCTCCTCTTCCTCCTCCTTCCTTCAGAGAAGCAGACAGGCGCCACTTCACAGCAAGGGAACGAGCAGCCCAGCAGGCCAGAGGGGGAAAGGGAGGGAGAAGCAGCGGGAAGAAAGGCTGAAGGAGGGAATCCCACCTGAGGGAGGCTTTCCTGCCAGGGGAGGAGCGAGGACGCAGCTCCTGCCAGCTCCAGTGTCCTTAGGCTCAGTCCAGCCCCTGGGGCTGGGGCAGGCTTGGCTCCACCGGGGGCTGGGGTTTGGTCCAGCCTGGCCCGGGCCGGGCCGGGGGCTGCGGCTGAGGCAGGGACAGCAGCCCCGGCACGCCGGGCCCCGTGACTGAGCCCACAGAGCTTCTGCTGCAGCCTTCAGCTTCCTTCCCGTGTCCCTTTCGCCCTGCTGAAGTGCCCTGCAGGTTATTCCTGCCGGAGCTCCCCGAAATGCCCGAGTGCTGCCTCAATCACACATTGCACCGCTGGCAGGCCCCGCACGCGCTCTCTGCTTGGCAAGACTCTTAGTGCAATTTTCTCTTTTCTTGGGCTGCATATGCCCAGAACTGCTAAGATTTTAAAGTTCTTCTAGGATATCTGTATTTGAAAAAAACAAAAAGCTTAGGCACACCATGTTTTTCCAAGTCTAAGCAAATGTTGGTTTTCGTAATGTTTTGGGCCAAGGAAAGCAGCAGATGATGATATACTTATTTTATGTTGGTGTTGATTTACTTTCAGATTATTCAGGTTGCTTAGTCTCTTTTTTTTAATTTTTTTTTTACTTATGGGTCCTTTTGCAAGTGTAAATAATAGTGTGTATGCTCTCATTGTGTTTCACACAATGGGAAGGATTTCGCAGGAGCCCATAATCTCCACATCTCACTGTGCTTGGACTTTTTAAATAAAGTGATTGATGTTTTGAGATACTTTGTTTTCTCTGTGTCAATTCTTTGCTACCTGTTGATAAAACAAATTGCTCACCATTTTTCTGAGGAGATTTCCCGATTTAAGAATTCACTGACCATTTGTAGGTGTGCAAGTATCTGAGAAATTTTACCCCAAGGCTCACACTGGCCATAGATTGCTCACAGAAATGTTTTCTTCCCCTTCTGGGGATTTTCAACAGTTTATTCATTCATTCCAAATATTTATGAAGAGGTCCTCAGTGCTGGGGACAGAGGGAGCCTTTTGAATAAGGGGAATGCAGTGGTCCTGTAGCAGCAGCCACTGATGACTTTTTAATGTGTTATGTTTCATGTGGCTTGAGACTGGAAAAACAGACAAGGGCTCCTTGCCTTGAAGCTGGGCCTGTTAAAATCCTCCTCAAAAGTTATTCCCAAATCCCAGGGAAGTGTGGCTGGGAGTGTCATTTAATCCAGTGTGGAGGCTAGAGCTGCACTCCTGGGTCTCCCTCACTGTGCTGGGCAGGGGTAAAGATGCGAGCACAGGGGACAGGCAGCCATCACCATCAGTGCACCTCCCCTCAGTGCACCAAAATCCAGCTGTTTCCACCCATCCAGGTCACACTGCTTCAGCCAATCTTTGCCAAAGTTGTGGAAGAGGCCCCCTCTCCTCAGAAAGGACACACAACACCAAAGGTGCCTTTTCCCAGTGGCATGAATCCAGTGGGTGATTCCCCAGGGCCACAGAAGTCCCAGAGCACACGGTGTGTCACCCCCCATGGAAAGGTGGCAAGAGGGACACAGCTGCAGCCTCACCTCTGAACTGCCAGTGCCACTTGGGAAGTGTTATTTTGGGATATCACCTGAGTTTGTTGTCCAAGCACAAAATTGTGGGTGGTGCTGTGGAGCTTCCCTCCAGGTGTGATGGGGCTGAGCAACCCCAAGCTCACGTCCCCAGATGCTTTCCTCTTCCTCCTTCCTTTTAGTGGTAGGAAGGCAGATCTTGCAGTGCAAGAATTTGCAGGAAAACAGGTTTGAAGGCATGTCAGGGGTGGAGATCCCACCTGGGGGTTTTGACCCTGCTGCATTTGCAGGGTTATTGCAGCAACCAGAGGTCCCTGAAATACGGAGCTGTCAGAGGGCATCTGTCAGCAAGGAGGTACAAGAGAGAGTTCCCCAAAGATGTTTTCCTGATTGTTATTTTCTCTGCACACAGGTGACTTGGTACTTGCATTTTAATTGCCTTAGTGGCCAGCAGCACTGGAACTCCAGCACTCAGCCATTAGCTCTTGTAATGGGATGGTATTGGAGAATACATAAAAACAGGTAATTGCATAAATGGTATTTTTGGATGCCAGCAAGTTCCTCAGACCCCTCGAGGAGTGACATTTTACAGGAGTGGATGGGAGAAAAACAGCAATCGCAGCACAAACCCCAAATCCATAGTGTTTCTGAGAGGAGCCTTGGAGGCAACAATAATTTCCTGAGTTTTCTGGCAGCCCTGGCTGAACACAGCACTGCCAGGAAACTATATAGTGCATTATAGTGCATTTCAGTAATTAGTGGCACTTTTCCTGCCTGGCAAATCAAACCTCGAGGGCATTAGAGCCTTCATGGCGTCTCTGCTCTTGGCAGCAAAAGGGACAAATAAGCAAAGCCACCTCAGGAGTGGATGAGTGGCCCAGGCAGAGAGAGAGAGAGAGGGGGTCTCTGCTTGATCCCAGCCAACTGCATGTGCTCAGGGCTCTCCCTGCACTCACAGAATGCAGCAGCCACCCCACCACCCTCTGAAAAACGTGTGGTGGCCTCCTCCAGGCATGTCCCTGAAATAAACTCACTCCTGCAGGACCTCAGAACAAATCTGCATTTTTCTGTGGCCGAGGAACGAGGTGTGTAGAGTTAATCTGCTCCAAGATCCTGTGAGGCAATGGCATGCAGAAGTACAAGGTTAAAAAAATGCCTCCAGAACCAGTGGCTGGGAACTGTAAATACCTTCCAGGCAGTCCTTAGGCACATCAGGAGATGAGCAAGCAAAGCAACTGGAATTTATAAACTTGCATAATTAATTATTCTTTGCAAGGAGAACAAACATTCCCATGTTCCAGCTCTCTTAGGGCCTTTGACAACTGGGCTCCTTTCTGTAAATAATGTTATGTAAGTTTATACATTTCAGTTAGTGCTTGTTCTAGCCTCTTCACAGCCCAAGGATGTTTTCACTCCAGTTTATTATTTCAGCTGTGGACAGATTATTTTGCCCTGGTGCATCTATAATGGGATTTAAATTAAGATGCTTGCAAGCAGTGTAACAGTAGTGAAATAGTGTCTGGAAAACATTGGTGCATACCCAGGGAGAATGAAAGAAAAAACTTAGCTTTACATTGCAGCACTGGGCAAAGTGTCTGCTCCCTTCCCCACCCGGCAGGACAGGATTCCTCTGTCTGAAGAAAAAACCTGTGAAGGACCAATGCTGTACCCGGGCTGCATTGCAGGGCTGCTGGAGACATTGTGTAATGGCCATGGATGCTTTTATTCCAGAGCACGGGAGCGCCTTTGAGTCATCCAACAGCCCTGTAACTGCAGCGTGCTGCAATCAGAGCTGCCTGAAATGCTTAACCCCAATGGCTTAATCTCCAGCCATTCCAAATTAGTACAGCTCCATTAACTCCAGAGGACTATTTACATGGGGGAGGTTAAATGTGTACAGGATCAGGCACAAAACCTGCAGTGATTCCATACTTGGGGCAGTGGTTTACTGATTTACAAAGCTAGCTCTCATCTCTGCTCGTTTCTGAAGTTTTATTTATTTACAGTGAGCACATCCATGTCAGGGGAATTTCTCCATCAAGCAGCATAGGGAAAACCCTTCATCAGCTCCAATTATGCTGCTGATCCCAGTCCTGATGCAGGAGATATCTTCCCTCCATTCCCCCTTCAGTAACCTGTAGCTGTGAGGCTGGATGTTAAAACTTGATGTGTGGATTATTTAATTTCCCTTTGTTCTGTGTTTTTTATTTCTGAATTATTATTTATTATGTTATCTATTATCTGCAGATCCTACAATAGCAGGAGAAAACCTTTGTGGTCTCCTCCTTTGATGTACTGTAATTCTGATGCACCAGGGGCCTTCACCCTGATGGGCTGGGCAGTAAGGAGTGTGTCTAAGTCAGGACTGAGGCATGGTAGATAGCCCATGGCCTCTGGGGTGGCTTTTAGGAGCACAAATCCACCTGAAATGGTTCCAGGAGAACAATGGCAGGTCTTGGGGGAAACCAGGTGAGTCATGAGCTCCAGGTGGAAGAAACCATGGGCAGCAGTGGGATGGTGCAGGACAGGGAGCTGGGAGTGAGGCCCCACAGTGCCACCATATCAATGAGCCCAAGCACTCTCTTCACCCTGCTGTTGGTGACCCTTCTGCTCCTGCCACCCAAAGAAGGAGCCCTCAGCCAGAAGCACCAGCCCCCAGGCCTGGTGGCAAAACACTCAGTGCCTCTGCCACTGGTGTGCA